AGGTAATTCCTATGGATTCAAGTAGTACCTCAAATGTACTCAAATAACGACAAGATTTCTCCATCTTGCTACAAACAAAGGCTTTGAACTAGACCTAAAATCATGTGTCAAGTGCACTCACTACAAAGTCCTAATTTTCATACATTCAAAGTATTTTTAATCGGGGAACATCTGGAAAAACACATTCGCACTCACAAAAAATAATCAACGCATGCAATTGTGATACGATAGGCTTAACCTTCATGTAAATCTCCACTAATGTGAGAACATTTGAACTGAAATCACGTAGGGCTTGTTAATGACTTGTAATATAGGCTTAGGGATAGGTAAGATAGTCATTTAGGATGAAAGTGACTAAATCCTTTGATGAGCATTACACTAAATTGATGCTTTCAACATTTGTTACGCTTTTAGCATTCGATTCTCTTTGTTGTCCCTTTCTTTTGTACTTTTTGACTTCTATTGAAGATTTGCTTGTTTGAATTTTCCCCTTCTCATCATCTTTTGAACTTTCTCCTTTTTGTTTGGAGCATTCTTCTTCTTTTGTTGAAATTTTGCTTACTTGTACTTGAGGGGGAATTGAACTTTTTCTTTTTTTCTTTGAAGTCATTTTTATATTCTTTACTTTCAGGGATCTTGATAACTTTATCTTTGACAAATTTGAATTTTAGATCTTCTTTTATAACTTGCAAATCTTCAATGCGCTCAAGAAAGTCAGGCTAAAAGAGGATAGTGCATATAAGCACTCAAAAGGTATAGGCTAAAATGTGATTGTCCAGAGAAAATGCTTAAGACTCAAAGTGAGACACACAAAGGATTAATGTCATTTGATAGCTTTGAAAGGCTCAAACGGGTCAAAGAAGACCTATAATCATTTTTCAAATCAAATATTACTCAGAATTTTGCCTCAATAACATTTAGGCCAAGTTCTAGATCAACAATGCAAAACAATTGAATTTAATTCAAAACTCACCACAATGCACATGAAACAATGAACCTGGTTTTGTTCTAATCTTGATTGTATGCAAGAAAATATTTACAAGTGTAACAAAAATATGAAAGAGAGGTACCAGAGAATCAATGGTTCAACAAAAAGTCAATCTTTTCTATTGTACAAATTATTTTTCACATGCACACTTGAATTGAGTTGGCATCAACAAAGTCATAAAATGATTTCAAAAATATAAAAATTAAAAGAATAAAAAAAATCTTTTGAATAAAGAATACCGAACTCGAGAAGAGCTGCCTACGTATCTCATTGATGAAAATTAGGTTTGTGTAATTCATCACATAAGACATAGAATCTATATACAACAAATGAATTTTCAAAAGGAAAAATAATGAGAATAAAAATCAGTGAGCCACATTGAGAGGCGGGCAACCCAAATTTAACAAAAATATTTTTTTAAAAATTTAAAGAAAACTTAACAAGGATAAAGAAATCAGTCAGTCATATTGAAAGGCGGACCACCTAAATTTAACAAAAAGTAATAAAAATAAAATAAGAAATTTATGAGTCACATTGAAGGGAAGACTACCCAAACTTAGCAAAAAAATATTTTTTTATTAATTAAAAAAAATAGTAAAAATAAAAAATGAACCAGTCACATTGAAGGGCGGACAATCCAACTAAAAAAATGTCAAACAATTTAATTTTAATTTTTAAAAGGGAGACATTTAAATAAAAAATGAATGAATCACATTGAATGCAAGGAAACCCTAACAAAAAAATATTTTTAATTAATTAAAGAAAACTTAACAAGAATGAAAAAATCAATGAGTCACATTGAAGGGCGGACCACCCAAATTTAACAAAATGTCAAATAAAAGAATATTTTTAATGGAATATAAAATAAATAAAATCAAAGATATACAATAAATATGACATCATGTACAAAAAAATAATTTAAAATATGTAAATCAACTCGGGAACGAAGTCTCATAAGTTCTGGTGTCTAAATACAAACTTGGTGAAATTTTTGAATGTATTCCTTAAAAATTTGCCCATGTTTCAGCTTCAACAACCTCCAATATCTAATCTTGTAACAACCATCTCCTTTGTAAATTTTTTGGAGACCTCTTCAAAAAATTTTGCTCCAATATCCCTTTTAAAAATTTGAAAAGCTTACGATGAACATGACCAAGTCGTTGTGGCGCCTACGTATCCTGTTGAAGCAGAAATCAGGTCAAACGTAGTTCCAACAGATTCCAACTTGAATAAAAATTGGAGTTAGATTATAAATATTCTAAACTAGATTAGCAATAGTGACTTTGAAATAATGGACTGTCGTACAACATATTCACTTATAACATGTATATCACATAACATACCAACAATGAATGCATGTCTTATACAAATGTATCTTGAGTGTTGTGTCATGCTTAATAGAGGTTTTGACTTTGCTCTACACTAGCTGACTAAGAGTTGGCTTTGAAAATAGACCTGGATATCCGAGATGGACAAACTACGAGATGAAGTATAATAAACGACGTTAGATGACCACAATCCAACTATTCTTTTGTCACTTCAAAAGAATTTAAAGACATTTTTCTGAATGACAACCGTGGAAAGCCACATAACCTCCTTTGTCCTAATGCATTCTATTTGACATTTGGCGAAATTATGTCATAAAATGCAATGAAAATATGCAACAAATGATGAATAAATAATGAGTAAAATATGTAAATAATCAACAAAATATACAAGATATAATGAATAACACTAAAAGAATAATCTCCTCAATTTGAAAAAAATGAACTCATAACAGCTACCACTATATCTCCAGCGGAATCGCCATTATTTTGATATCCTTTGAATGGAGGAACATCGTGTTACTCAGTTAAAAAATAATTATTAATTTTAACAGAATTCAAAAAGGATAAAAAGAAAGGTAAAGGGGTTGGAAATGGTGATAAAGGGAGTCACCACTGTAACGACCTGTTTAGTCGTTTTGAGCAGCAGATTTTATTTCTGGAAAAACAGGCTGAGGCGACGGACCCCACGACGGACCGTCATGGGCACGACGGACCGTCGCAAGGTCTCGTTTCAAAACACTTAGAAAATCTGAAAATTGGGTACTGAAAATCGACTCTCTGAACTTCGTAACGGAATGGCAGGACGGACCGTCACAGACCCTTCAGAGAAATTAAGTCTCTGAAGTCTGTGACGGAGCAGCAGGACGGACCGTCGCAGGCGCGACGGGCCGTCACAGACGGCGTAATCCCAGTCTGGATCGAATTTCTTTATACGTTTTAAGGGACGTTTTTGACTATTCATGCTTTAATTATAAAGTTAGTGGGTTAATGTTAATAAGTCTAATTACTTAGGGGTTAAAAGAGGTAACCTTAAGTTAATTAGTGGGTTATTATTGCCATCTTTTATTCTCAATTATATACTAATTAGGGTAAAAGAAAGAGGGTTTGAATAAGAAAATAGAAAGAACAAGAGAGAGAGGGAGAATCGAACGAGAAAGAGAGAAACAAAGCTTGGGAAATTGCTTGCTTGATCACGAATCTTCAGTGGAGGTAGGTTATGGTTTTCATGCTTTCATAGTAAACTCTTAATAGAGAATGATATGTATTGATAGTATTGTAAACCCTGCTATGTGCTTAAATGTATGCATGCATGAACGTGATTATATAATTGTGATTATATTAAGCATGATGAAGCTATTGAATCCCAAATCTTGATAAAAACCTAATCTCTTTTTAATGATGATGCCTTGGTAAGGGAGAAGGCTTGATGAACTAAAGTAATGAGATTGATGATGCCTTGGTAAGAAAGACGGCTTGATGAATTGATAGAAGGAGATTAGGGGATCGGGTGTCACGAACCGACACGTAGATTTAGGGGATCGGGTGTCACGAACCGACATGTAGATTTAGGGGATCGGGTGTCACGAACTGACAAATAGATTTAGGGAATCGGGTGTCACAAACCGACACGTAGATTTAGGGGATCGGGTGTCACGAACCGACACGTAGATTTAGAGGATCGGGTGTCACGAACCGACACGTAGATTTAGGGGATCGGAGTGTCACGTACCGACACAAGAGGATTAATGAATATGAGAAAGCGGAGTGTCACGTACCGATACAAGAGAAATAAAGATAATGAATCTTGAAAGATGTTAATATACTCAATCTAATGAACATAATTCCCAAATGAGTATAGTATTGAGGCTTGAGTCCTCATGTGTGAACTTGACGGTAATTGTTAATGATATAGTACTTGTTGTTGCTACATGTTGAGTATCATAGTTGATTTTATGATATTACTTGGTATATACTGTTTTCTATTTTGAGTTAGCCGATGATATCTACTCAGTACCCGTGCTTTGTACTGACCCCTACTTTTATGTTTTCTTCTTGTTTATTTGGGGAGTGCAGCAAACGTGTCGTCGTCTTCAACTCAACAGTAATTCTAGCCATTCTTCGTCACACCGGATCTTCAGGGTGAGCTAATGCTTCTAGCTTGGACTGGATCTTCTTCCTCATGTCTTGATGCCTTGAAGTTCCGGCATGGACTAGCTTTCATTTGTTTTAGCTTCTTAGAATACTCTTAGCTTAGTAACTTGATTATAGATGTTCTTGTGATGATGACTTCCAGATTTTGGGGATAATAGTAGATGTTTGAGTTTTAGAAGTTATTTGATTTATATTGATTAATGAGTTTAAGTCTTCCGCATTACTTTCTGTTGATATTATATTGAAATGTTAAAGTTTAGATTGGTTGGTTCGCTCACATAGGAGGGTAAGTGTGGGTGCCAGTCGCGGCCCGGTTTTGGGTCGTGACAGCCACCTAAGCTAAGAAATCAATTAATAAATTAATTTAAAAGATAGTCTACGAAATCAATTGATTCAAGGTAAGGGGTTCAAATTATTCTGAAAGGAAGGGTTAGGCATCCTTCGGAATTCACAAGTGTGGTCCTAACTGAATTCATTTTTTCTAGTTGAGGATGAGATGAAAATAATATACAAATATAATAACACATGCGATATACACAAAGAATAAAATTAAACAAATAATATAAGAAACGCATAAGGTTTGCCTAACATCGATATATACAAAATAATGAATAAACATATAATTCGAACTTAATCTGAATAGCTTCAATGGGAAGCACCTTTTGGTACCTGTATAGACACTTAGTAAAAGTGTTAGTAATAAATATATATGAATAAAATTGAATAACTCAAATAACAACTTAAAAATAAAAATTTGTGTTATTAACATGAGATACCTTGAAAATCGATAGCAATTTCTTCATTAACCAATTTAACAAATTAAAATATATGAATTTAAATTAAATTTTCGTCTTTTAAAATAGGGAGGCCTCCAAAACCGACGGAGATATTTTCTGGTTCGCCGATTTTAACAAATAATGTTCAACAACAAAATTATACTACTAACTGAAAGTATGTAACATAAAATATTAGCTGACAATTAACAAGTAGTAACAAATAATAACGAAAAAACATAAACAAATGCAGCAACATCATTAGGATTAGAAGGCAACAAAAATTATTTATCATTAAACTCATCAAAATAAATTAAAAAAACGTTTTGCCATAACAAGACAATAACAAATGGAACAATACTAAATAATAATAAAACTAAAACAACAACAATAATAGAATAACATTAAGTTTGCATTTCAATCAAAATAATAAAAAATAATAAATCTAAAAGCACAATATTAAAGTAGTCACAATACATTTCAGGTGAAAAAATGTCTAAACATAAGGAAGAAAGTGGTAACAAATAACTATGACATTAACAACTAAACAAACATGATAACTTTAATCACATCAGGGAAACGAATGAAGAATAAAATGAAAATAGAAAAAAATAAATTTACCTGAATAATGTATTTTGCGGCTAGATTTGGTTGTTGGTGGTTGTTCTGTTGTTGAGCTTCAAAGCTTGCTGATTTAAGAGTTGAATCTGGTTGGAATTTCGGCATGGAGTTCACTGGATTTCACCGGAAAAGATAAAAGCAGAACGTTGTGAGCTTTGAACTACTGAAGCTCATCGATTTTGAGCAAAAACGCCTGAAACAAAAAAAATTGTGAAGGGGAAGAGGGAAAACGGATTGGCGGCACAATTTCATTTGTTGTTGAAAACAATGATGAAAAAAATAAGGGTTTTGGAGGTAGATTTCTCACTGTTTGGAGATCGTTGTTGTTGGTCAGAGAAATGGAGGATCGGGTGATTTAAATTTGAAAATGGGAAGAATAGGAACTGATTTTGATTATTTCTGGCGAGGTTCTGTTGGTGTGGCCGGTGGTGTGACTGAGTTATTTGATTAAAAAAGTGGGTGAAAGGGGTTTGGGTGGCCAGGTGTTTGCATGAGTCACTGATTTGCTAGAAAAAGAAGCAAAATGAACGGAGATTTCGGGGTTTTGGGGTTGATTCGCCGGATTCCGACGGAACTCCGATGAGTTAGTAACCGAAAAAAGTGAACTATAAAAGAACGAGCAATTTACAAAAATGATTATAGTTGTAGGGTTATTAAAGTTTAATAGTTGCAATTATGTTATTTAAAAAAAATGACTACATTTTATGTTTAATCTAGCTATATATTTGTATTTTTTTTTCATTCTTTTTATTTATACAATGATAAAATTATAATTATAGTTCACTAAATAAGATATTTTCTTGTTATAGTAATCGAATGCCCCCTAATTATGTCCCTACAACTCTCAACTTCCTATTATTAAGTTAACCACTATTAATTACGTCCCTATCTGGATTCCACCTAGTAATTAACAACTAATATTAAATTAATAACTAATAAGAACTAAATTAACAATTAATTTTACCTTATGAATACACCTATTATAATATACATATGAGTACCCCTTAGTAAACAAAAATTTAGATACAGTGAACAACCCAAAAATAAAAATAAAATAAAAATAACACAATGTATGTATCTAAGTGTATAAGTATTTGACTGTATAAAAAATTGAAACACCAACAAAACTTAATCTCTTTTTGCACATGTTTACTATTTTGTTTATAACTATATACATATGAATAAAACTCATAACTCAAGTATTTGTTTATAGAGAAATAATGTAATTAGTATCAAAATATATTTGTATTACCCAGTCAGCCTTTCAACTTGTGTTAATATTTTAATGCAGCGGGACAATTTAAAAAAGAAAAAAGTGTATAAGTATTTGACTGTATAAAAAATTGAAACGCCAACAAAACTTAATCTCTATTTGCTCATGTTTACTACTTTTTTTATATAACTATATACATATAAATATAACTGATAACTCAAGTATTTGTTAATAGAGATAAAATGTAATTATGTATCAAAATATATTTGTATTACCTAGTCAACCTTTCAACTTGTGTTAATATTTTAATACATCGGGACAATTCAAAAAAGAAAAACGTGTATAAGTATTTTACTGTATAAAAAATTGAAACGCCAACAAAACTTAATCTCTTTTTGCTAATGTTTAATTTTTTTTACAACTATATAAATATGAATACAACTGATAATTCAAGTATTTGTTAATGGAGAAATAATGTAATTATGTATCAAAATATATTTGTATCACCTAGTCAACCTTTCAACTTGTGTTAATATTTCAATACACCGGGATAATCCGAAAAAATGACAATTGAATATAATAAAATACAAGTATCCAAATATATAAGTATTTACTATGTAAAAAATTGGAAATTAACAAATCTCAAACTCTCTTTACTCATTCATCCTGTAATATGCATATGAATACAATTAAAGAACCTTTCAACCTCTGTAATATACATATGAATATGACTCATGAATTTATCAATCTTTCAATAAGATGAATACAAATATAAACTTCATACAAACAAGAAAAAAATACTAATAAAAGCTTCATGGTGAAGATGAATTACAAAAATTATTCATAAAATCCAGCAAAGAATGTTAAGTCGGAAGAAAATTGGAGAAAAAATTGGTGATTTGTGATATTGAAAGAGAAAACAATAAAGAGGGTAAATATGGGAGAAAACATTTAGTATTAATTATGGATGTTAAATTATTTTTGCTATTTAATATTTATTTTTATCCATATAAAGGGTGTAATATTAACTTTGTTATTTAACATGTGTTAGGTTATTAGCATTTTAATATTAATATTTAACATATTAAATTGCTTTATTTTGGAGTTATAAGAATGAACATTGGAATGGATGGCTTCTACATCATCCATTAGCATTGGTTATTCATCAATGTATTTCATTCTTAATTCCTCCATTACTCTTTATAACCTATGTAACTCCCATTGTAACCTATGTAACCTATGTAATTCAAATTGTAACTCTTAAGGTCATTTATCTTCACTATTTACTACCTCCATTATCTTCCTATTCATTGCTAGGAAGACTTCTTGTAGTATAAATAGTGGTAGTCTTCATTTGGTTTTGGATACAAAAAAAAAACACAAGAGAAAACAAAAGTGAAAGAGTTAGTCTAAAGAGAGTTCTTATTAGTTGAAGGGAGGTGTTCTTTTTGTGGAGTTTTGAACTTTATACTTTGTGAAGGCTGTTGTATCCTGGAGGGGACAAGTCAAAGAGGACTACTGCTGGACCGGTGAAAACATTTGCTGCAGTGGACTTGAATCTCCTTAAAGAGAGCGAAATATCTGCGCCTCAGCTTGAAGAGATTACTTTCTTCATTTTATTTTCAATTGTAATCTTGCAATTTTATTATCTTGTAAGTTTTTTCACTAACAATTTTAAGGAGATTCTAGATAGCTACAATTGAAAAAATCGCGGATGTCAAGATGGGAGATCTTAACAAGCCATTTCGGTTCAATGGTAACCATTTCAAAAGATGGAAGGGTAAAGTACTTTTCTACTTAAGTCTTCTCAATGTTTCTTATGTATTAACTGAGAAGAATCCAAATAAAGAAGACACCACCACTATGAATGATGATGAAACTATTTCTCATCTAGAAAAAGTGGAAAAGTACGATGGTGATTCCTATAAGTGTCGGTATTATCTTCTTAATTGTCTATCTGATAATTTTTATGATTATTATGATAGAACTTACTCTAGTGCAAAGAAAATTAGGAAGGCATTGCAGAGTAAGGGCCCGTTTGGATGGGCTTAATAAAAGCAGCTTTAAAAACGTACTTTTGAAAGTGCTGAAACTTATTTTTAAAATAAGCAGTTATGCGTTTGGATAAAAGTGCTGAAATTGCTATGCCAAACGTGAAAAGGCAAAAATGGAAGAAAGAGATGTTAGGGTTATGTGGGTAATTTGGAGATTGTATAAAAATATTAAAGGCAAAAAGGTAAAAATATGGTCAACTTAAAACAACTTATAAGCTAAAAAAAAGCACCCCTACCCCAGCTTTTAACTTTTGACTTAAAATAAGTTTTTTTTTAACTTAAAATAAGTTATTTTGAGTATTGCCAAACAGTTAAATAAGTCAAAAACCAACTTTTAAGTCAGTTTGACCAGCTTTTAAGGTGAGCCAAACAGGCTCTAAGTATGATACCGAAGAGGCTGGAGCGAAAAAATCTGCAGCTAGTAGATTTTTTTGTTTCCAAATGGTGGAGAACAAATCAGTGGTAGATCAAGCTCAAGACTTCATCATGATTGTTGGAGAGCTTAGGTCCGAAGAGGTTAAAATTGGAGATAACCTTATTGTTTGTGGCATAGTGGATAAACTTCCACCTTCTTGGAAGGAATTTCAAAAAACTATGCGCCACTAACAATAGGAAACCTCTCTTGAAACTTTGATAATGAAAATCCGCATGGAAAAAGAAGCAAGGGGCCAAGATGCACTTTTACAAACAGAAGAGAACAACATCACATCGAAGGTAAATTTAATCACTTCGAATAATGCTACTCCTGAAACTCACAAAAATACTTATTTAAAGCCTAAGAAGAAAAAATTCAAGAAAAATAATGGTAGACCTCCCAAGAAAAATAATGGTGAAAATCACCAAACACAAAATCAACAAGTTCAAGAAAAGGGACCATGCTTTGTTTGTGGAAAGAGTGGGCATATTGCTCGATTTTGCAAATTCCGGAAACGTGGTCCTAACCCTCAGGAAAACGTTACCGAAGAACCTTTTGTGGCGGTGATTACCGACATAAACATGGTTGAGATGTTGAATTGTGTTTTACTTCTGGAAGGATATTAACATTGAAAGATGTACTTTATACTCCTTCTATGAGAAAAAATTTGATGTCTAGTTTTCTTCTTAATAAAGCAGGCTTTAAACAGATTATTGAATCTGATCAATATGTAATAGTGAAGAAAGGTATTTTTGTGGGGAAGGGGTATGCATGTGATGTGATGTTTAAGTTGAATGTTGAAATGAATAAAACTTCTACTTCTGTTTATATGCTTTCTTCTACTAATTTTTGACATATGCTCGTTTGTGTCATATTAATGATCGTTATGTTGGAATCATGAGCAATTTAGGATTAATCCCAATGGTTAAAAAGAATTTTGAAAAATGTGAGGCTTGTAGTAAAGCCAAGATCACCAAAAGGCCTCATTTTCAAGTTGAAAGAAAAATTTATTTGTTAGAATTAGTTCATACTGATATTTGTGAGCTTGGTGGAATTCTAACTCGTGGAGGTAATAGATATTTTATCACTATCATTGATGATTTTTCTAAGTTTATATATGTTTACTTGATGAAAAATAAAAGTGATGCTTTTGAAAATTTCAAAACTTATCTCAATGAGGTTGAAAATCAGTTTGGAAGAAAAAAAATTAGAAATGATAGAGGCCGTGAGTATGAATCAAATGAGTTTAATTCTTTTGTTAGATCATTGAGAATAATTCATGAAACTACTCCTCCTTACTCTCCTTCGTCTAATGGAGTAGCAGAAAGGAAAAACAGAACTTTGGTTGAATTGACTAATGTCATGCTAATTGAGTCACATGCACCTTTAAATTTTTGGGGTGAAGCTATCTTAATTGTTTATTATGTGTTGAATCGTGTGCCTCATAAAAAGTCTAAATTGACACCTTTTGAATTGTGGAAAGGTTACAAGCCAAGTTTGGGTTATCTAAGAGTTTGGGGTTGTCTAGCCTTTGTTAGGCTAATGGATCCCAAAATTACAAAGTTGGGTAAGAAAGTTACTACTTGTGCTTTTCTTGGTTATGCTTCAAATAGTATAGCCTATAGATTTTTTAATCATGAAGATAATATTGTAATAGAATCTGGTGATGCTATTTTTCATGAAAATAAATTTCCTTTTGATACTAAAAATAGTGGGGGTCAAAAGATTGAACAAAATATTTTGTCACTACCTAGTTCTTCTACTTCAACTTTAAAAAATAAAGAAGTTGTTGATTTTGAGTTAAGAAGAAGTAAAAGAGCTAGAGTAGAAAAAGATTTTGGTCTTGATTTTTATGTGTTTAATGTTGAAAATGACCCTCTAACTCTAAAAGAAGCATTATCTTCACATGATTCTACTTTTTGGAAAGAGGCTGTAAATGATGAAATGGAATCTCTAATTTCTAATAAAACTTGGAAGTTAGTTGATTTACCACCGGG